TCAATAGGTACATAGGTACAATTAGATAGAAGGAATAAATTCTACTGTTCCATTGCACAGTAGGTGGGTAACAATCACATACTGTATATTTCAGAATAAGAGAGGTTTGCCAATGTTCTAACTCCAAGAAATGATAAATGTCTGCGAAGTTGGATATGCTAGTGATCCTAATTTGATCATTACACATTGTATACGTGTATCAAAACATCACACTGGAGGTCAGCAGGTGGCATAGTGGTTATGGCACAGGACTCCCACATGGCTGGTTGTGGTTTGAGTTTCAGACCCAGTGGCTGAAAAATCACACTGGGCACATGTGTGTGTATGCCCAAAATCCCAGGAGGAGAATGGAGGAGAAAGGATTGTAGCATGACTGTCCACCTAGGGGGTATTTTCTCACTTTCCCTCTCACTGACTCTCTCTGGTGAGCACATAGGCCCTATGGCAAAAACTTTTTTAAAAAATCATGCTGAGGGACCAACAGTTAGCGTAATGGCTATGTCGCTGGACTCCCACTTAGTCGACTGTGGTTCAAGTCCCGGACCCGGTGGCTTAAACTCATGCTGGGCGCGTGTGCGTGCATGCCCAAGATCCCGAGAGGAGAATGGTGGAGAAGGGATTGCGGTGTGGCCATCCCCCCTCAGGGGTGATTTCTTGCTTTCTATCTCTCTGTCTCTCTCTGTCTGTCTGGCGAGCGCATGCCCTATAGCAAAAAACCTCTCCAAAAAAAAAAGCTGAATCCCATGACTGTGTGCAGTTACTATGTGTCAGTTGAAAATTAAAAACTAAATACATTACAGCAAACAACAATATTAATCTTATCTATGTTTTAGAATTATAAGGATTAAATGATGTAATACATGTAAAGAGTCTGGCACTTAGAGAGTGCCATGGATTGCTGTGTGATTTAGGGCAAATTTTAGAAACCATTCTGCCTCAGTTTCCCTTACTGTATCTATCCCTTAGGGTTGTTGTATTAAAGGAACCAATCCATGTAAAATTCCTGGTCATTCATTAAGTCCATAGTAAGAATTTTCAGTTGTTCTCTTCTTCTCCTAACCACTCTGCTGCCTATTCTCCTCTGGATAGAAAAGCTGCCACCTTCCACCCTAGTAGGTGTCACCATCTCCTACTCACCCTTTCCCAATTGCCTATGTGATTATCTAGTGAGCAATTTATCTCCTTTCTTCCACAGTCCTCTATTGTAAAATGGTGACTTAAGCTCATTGTTTTAGTCTTTCAAGACCCTGGGGTTTGTTACTGTACTTTTACTCCATTTGGCAAGGCTTATGGCAACCTCCACTCAAGTGCACAAACCCAGGTCAGAAACCTTGCCAGCTCTTACCTGTCTCAATCAGAAATGGGAATAATGATTGTGCCAACCTCCTGGGATTTTTCTGACTATAGTATAATGTGAAATAAAGGGTGTGATATAAGTAGCAAGTGCCTAGAAAACACTGAACATTGTGGCTATCACTTCCTGAGTACTCTCTCTTTGCTGGATTTCTAGTCCTGAGTTTACATGCTTGCATTGGGGTTGCTGTAAGGCTTGCCAGCTATGGGTACACCAAAAGTACACTAACAGACACCAAGTTCTTTATAGGTCATAACCAAACTTAGGTAACCTAATAACCTTGTTTTTGTTTTTTTGTTTGTTTGTTTGTTTGTTTGTTTTTGAGAGGTTTTTGCTATAGGGCGCATGCGCTCGCCAGACAGACAGAGAGAGATGTAGAGACAGAAAACGAGAAATCACCCCCCAGAGGGGATGGTCACGCCGCAATCCCTTCCCCTCCTCCATTCTCCTCTCAGGATCTTGGGCATGCATGCACACGCGTCCGGCGTGAGTTTTAAGCCACCGGGTCTGGGACGCGAACCGTGGTTGACTACATGGGAGTTCAGCGACATAGCCACTACGCTAACTGCTGGTTCCCCTAACAACCTTGTTTAGGAGGAAGATTCACTACCATTTACAACGGGGGACTGGAGAGAAAAAGACATGCCTACCCACTAAATAACCAAACAGGTAAGTTGTGGGTCGGGGGTGAGAGGTTGGAGCTGGTAGCATTCATGGGACTGGGATGTAGTAATGGGGGAAGCTTCTCTGTGGCCAGAGGCAGAAGAGAAAGGGCGACTATTTTAATAAGCATGTGCCAGATGGGGCAGAAGTGTGACAGAATAAAGAACTACAGAGGTTGTAGTGGGAGGGTTAAGAGTAGAGAAATGACCTTGACACACAAGGGTAATGGATTCATGAAAAGAACCAGCAAGTGGCAAATATGGAATTTGAACCCAGGTATATCTGTTACCAAAGCCCATGCTCTTAATCATTGCCATATTAATGCCTGGCACATAGTAGGTACTCAACAAATATTGTTTAATTGTGGAAGTTATACTGCTTCCTATTTCTTAAAAGTTTTCTCCCTCTGTCTCATCCTTCAAGGCCCAGCTCAAATGCAGACTTGCTCTTAAAAGATGTGCCCTCTCTCTGTTGCCATGGAGTAGGGGAAACAAGAGGAAAAATGAGTGCTGGGATGCGGAAGTACTGGGGCACTAGGATGGGACTGCTGGGTGGAGTTGGAGGAAGGACTCTGAGTTTTACAAAGAGTTTTTCTCAAAAGATTACACATTGGAGTAGAAGTTGCTGCAATGATAGGATACACCCTTATCAAAGTAAGTCATACTGGGCTCTGATTAGTCAGAATAGTACATTACAATTATAGCAACCACGAATGGGAAGAATTGGAAGCCATTTTAGGATAGGGGACTAGGAAGAAAGTGAAACAAAATGTCTATCTGGAGAACAACAGCACATGTGTAGTAAAAAGGAGAGGCCTAAAAGTGAGAAGAGCTCATTCTAAGTTAAGAATTACTGCTCCAAGGGTTTTAGGATCCTTAAACCCCAGGGATTTAGGGATTTGTAATTCTCTGCTATATAATACCTTAAAACCAAGGATACTGGGATTCCAGGGATTTTAAATCCCTATAACCTACAGTATAAAGACTCAAGCAGTTTTCAAGCTTTGAAATGCTGGAAGCTTAGGACCCAAAATAAGGATTTTAAATAGAACACTGGACATGTTAAAAACACTAATTAATCCCCCCTTGACTTCAAATCAATCTTGGTTTGACCCTTGGGAGAGTAGTTTCCAAACTGTCTTTTCCACATTTAGGGATCCTTGAAGAGGCCTCACAGATGGAAATGGAGTTAGTTCACAAGAGAAAGGACCCCAGGGTAGGAACTTGGGTTCTCCATTGTGACTTCCACCAGGTCAGTTCCATTCTTGCTTGAGTTATATAAGGCTTCTCATTTAATTCAAAAGAAGAGTTGGGGCCAGACAGTGGTGCAGCTGTAAAAATGAGACACTTTGTGAAGCAATCCCACAAACCTTCCTTGCTCAAGTCTGGAGACCTCCTGAGTATGCCAGGTCCTAGCTGGATAAGGCTGGGGTGGATCATAGCATCAGGACCTTGTTGGAGGTGCTGCCTCTCTCTTTCTCTCTCTCTCTCTCTCATGGAAGAAACAAACAATAACAAAAACAAAAGAGGAGTTTTCTCACTAATGCACACAAAATAAGTTTTAAAATCTCTGTCCTAGGAAAAGGGGGTCCCAAACCTATAGGCTACCATTTGAATATAAAGAAGGGTGGTTCAGGAAGCCACGCTTGACCTATGCTTTTTAAAAATTTGTTTTTTTGTTTGGTTTTAGTGAGGATAAATACTGCAAAGATGCTTTGACTGGTAAACCATCAAATGATGCCAAAGAGATCGGGTGGGAATGACTGAGAAATCAGTCATTAGTTGAGTAAGTCAGTCTTAAGCTGACTCTAGCCTATAAGCTTATTTCTTTTATAAAATCAATAGCAATAGCTACTAAGACCACTATTACTATGACTACCACCATTTATTGAGTGATTTCGCTATGTACCAGGGGCTATGTTAAGCATTTTACATACGTTATCGCATCACAAAATCCTAAGAGAAAGTATCATTATTATCCCATTTTACAGATGAAGAGACTGGGGCTCACAGTGGATTAATAACTTGCCCAAGGTCCTATAGCTGGCACATGGTAGATTTCTTTTACTTACAAGCAGAAACAGAATGGACTAAAGGGATTAAAGTAGTCAAAGATCAACCACCTCGAAGACTTAATTAAGGAATGAGGTTAAATTTTGACCAATAGATGGCACTAGTGTGTGAGTTTGGTGGCCTGCTCAAGGCTGCATTTAATTCAAGGAAGTCCCAGCTGAGACTCAGAATAAAAGCGGCCTGTCTTAAGTTGAGGGAGAAGGGAAAGAAAGATGGCCGTCTTTTTGCTCCTGAATAAGATGATCCTACTCTGTTCTCTTTGTAGCTAAGCAAAGATACGGAGAAGTCAGAGCTGGGAGACAATGGTGGTTCTACCAAGAGCCACTTTAAGACCTCAGAATCTTTTTTCCTTCAGCATTTCTTGAGTAGGCAGTATGTTGTGCAACAAAATCATATGCAGGTATCAAACACAGACTCTTACCTCACAGGAAGGAAGGTAGAATCTATGGTAGGGAAGGTACTGGATGTATGGGGGCACCCAAAATGGATTTGAGGATCTGGGGAGGCTTCCCACAGGAGGGGTGTCTGAGCTAGTCCTAGTGGATGAATAGCACCTTACTAGGCATACAAAACTGAAAGGCATTCCAGACAGAGGTGTTAAGTCACAGAGGTGTCAGAAAGCATATCACATTCAAGGATAGGCATGTAAATTTCAAGCATTGAAAGATGAATATGAAGAGCTAGGCAAACATCAGATGATTAGAAGGCCTAGAACATCTACTTAAGGACTTGATTTGTGAATATTTATCACTATATTGTGTGCATACATGTGTATTTTTCTGGGTAGAGAACCTATATATTTTTTAAGAATTATTTTATTTAACTTTATTATTTATTTATTTATTTATTTATTTATTTATTTATTTTAGAGGGGCAGAGAGAGAGAGAGAGAGCAAGCCACCAGGTCTGGGATTCAAACTACGATCAGCCATGTGGGAGTCCAGCACCTTTAACCACCATACCACCTGCCAGTCCTGAGAATCCATAGATTCTTAAGAGGATCTGTTACAAAAATTAAAAAGAGAAAGAGAGAAGTTCAACTGTTGGTGAGAGAAGAATATAACATGATTTGATATGGTGGCCTGTGTGGAGGATACATCGCAAAGTGACATGCTAGGGGCAAACAAGTTAGTTAAAGAGGAATTAGCATGAGGGCCTGAGCTGTGGTAGATACAAACGGAACTGAAAAAAATTGATAGGAACCCTCATTTTTATGTACACATAGCCATCTCTAAGGCTTCAATGAAGCTGAGTCTCTCACCTTCCCCCCAGATCCTATCCTTACTCCCAACATACAAGGTTCCCTTGGGGAGACTTTTTGTTCTTTTTCCAAACTGTCCTTGAAGTTTCATCAAGCCTGATTTCACAAGTTGACAGAGGGCCTGGCCCCCTGCTGTATCCCCAGCCCTATCTCTCCATGGAGAACAATCTCCATAAACTGATATCGGATAGAGCAAAGAGTTGACTGACCTTGAGCTGGTCTCTGACCCTCGGCCCATGGCTTCACAACATGGGCAGAGTTCAGTTAAGAAATCAGCATAGTTCCAAGAAAAAGGCAAACATGATCCAGTTCATTTTTCTCCTAATTCATTTCATGCCAATGCACAGACTTTAATGAATGACAAGCAAAACTGGGGGAGAGGGCATCCTCAGAGTGAACTGATTATATAGATGGTTCTTTCCCTCACTCTAAGCCCCACCAAGAAGGCACAAAACTTTGCTTGGATCTTGGAGTTGAAGCCAGAAGTCAGGCTTCCAATGGGGAGGCTGGACTATGTGTCTACCTAAGAAGACTGCGAATTGAAGGGCACCAAGGAAAGTCTGCCCTCCTCTGTCCTTCTCTGACTCCTTGAGGCTTCAAAAAAGCAGTTCTTCTACTCCCCTAGAGTTCCTAGGACTCACCTCCATCAACACAACTGCATCCCGACAATGAGACACCAGAGGCCTGGGCTCGCAGGCAGGTCTGGTAAGTCAAGGCGAACCAGGCAGCTTAACGACCCAATTTTTAGTCCAGAAAGCTGTGCCTGGAGACTCTTGGTTAATCGATGTCCAAGAGAATTTGCCAGGCATTCTAAATATGAAATAGAGTTCCTAGGACTCACCTCCATCAACACAACTGCATCCCGACAATGAGACACCAGAGGCCTGGGCTCGCAGGCAGGTCTGGTAAGTCAAGGCGAACCAGGCAGCTTAACGACCCAATTTTTAGTCCAGAAAGCTGTGCCTGGAGACTCTTGGTTAATCGATGTCCAAGAGAATTTGCCAGGCATTCTAAATATGAAATTAAGCTGTGACTGCTTCAGTTTGGACAGGTCAGAGGCAGGGAAGGAGGCTGACCTGTGGCCCTGTGTGGTGTGGACCTTGGTATCCTCACACACTCTTTTGGCCCCTTTTCATTTGTATCTTCATTCTCCTCTTCTTCTTCTTCCTCCTCGTGTTCACTATCTGAGTCCTCGTACAGGTTAATGGTGGCCTGGACAGGGAAATTCTGCAGTAAAACTTCCCCAGCACTGAACAAGTAGTCAAAGGAATGGGACTTAGGCCAGAAGAGCCTGTGGATAGAGAAGAAACAGGGCCCCTAAGTAAAGATGGGTTTCACATGTGCATAGGGGTCAGTAGGGTCAAGAAGAAGCCGTAGCCAGAACTTTTCTCTTAGATGCAGTAATAGGGGTCAGAGGGAAAGGAAGAAAAAGAGAATTGTAACAGGGCCTTTTGAACTGTAACAAAAAAGTCCCAGGCAGGAAAGTCAACCCTGGTGGTCTGTAGCTGCCATGGGCACTGACTCCACTCCTTACCCCAGGGTGGGCTATAATTCTCTAGCCCTGTGCCCCTCATGTCCTTCTTCCACTAAGGATTCCTTCATTGGAGTCATTGACAGAGCCTCCGGGGAAGGTGACCTGACCAAGTCCCTTAAACTCTCTGGGCTTGTTTTCTCTTCTGTGATGAAACAGTGATCACAGCATAGGTTCCCTTTTCCTACTTCCTAGGACTGTTATGAGGATTTAAAGAGCTAGTGGATCTGTTCTTTTCGTCCCTGGCTGCTTGAGGATATATCGCCATCATGAATGACACAGTAACTATCCGAACCAGGAAATTCATGACCAACCGACTACTTCAGAGGAAACAAATGGTCATTGATGTCCTTCACCCCGGGAAGGCAACAGTACCTAAGACAGAAATTCGGGAAAAACTAGCAAAGACGTACAAGACCACACCAGATGTCATCTTTGTGTTTGGGTTCAGAACCCATTTTAGTGGTGGCAAGACAACTGGCTTTGGCATGATTTATGATTCTTTGGATTATGCGAAGAAAAATGAACCAAACATAGATTTGCAAGACATGGCCTTTATGAGAAGAAAAAGATATCAAGAAAACAGTGAAAGGAACACAAGAATAGAATGAAGAAAGTCAGGGGGACTGCAAAGGCCAATGCTGGTGCTGGCAAAAAGTGAGCTGGAGATCGGAGAGCAGTCGAAGGAGTAAAGATTCTGCAGTGACTATCTGCGGTGATTGTACAGATTTTTCACGAGAGGATTAATAAACCAAAAAATATATAAATAAATAAAAAGAGCTAGTGGATCTATGTCAAGTTCTGAGCTTGGTTCCAGAAGCTTACCTGACAGGGTGATGGAACTCAGAGTCAGCCTTGGTGGCCTCAGCAGCTGTTGCCCCACCAGTGGCCTGTCCAAAGCAAAAGCTAGCATGTGACTCAAGGTACATGTCCAGATCACTGCCTCCTCCATATCAGGGTCAGAAACCTGCAGGTAAGATGATCTAGAAGAGACCTTAGACATCTCTGGGGTCTGCTCTCCTCCCCTCCTGCAGCATGAGGTTCTGTCCTGGTTCTTACTGAAAAACAAGTAAACAGAGCCTGGGAGCTACTTGCTCTCCTGCCCTGATTCCAACATCTGTTTGGAGACTGTCCAGAGGACATAGTTCCACTAGAGCAGCAAAGATTGGGGGGATGAAGGGGGCAGTGGGAAAGCACAAGATAAGTGCCAGTAAACTAGATTTAGGCACCAGTTCCATCACATACTGGTTGTGGGGCTTGCCAAAATTCCTTCCCCAGTCTGAGCCTCAGTTCTCTCATCTTTCTAACTGCCACAGAAACTTCGGGTCTTCCCCCCTCCCAGAGTTGTTGTGGGAAGCAAGTATTGGCAAAACTATGAGGAAACTGTCCTAAATCTGCTGCCCCGGACTGAGGTCAGGCAGGGGCTCTCTGGGAAGGGATCTGGTCTATGTGAATGCATGTGGATTTGTGTGTATGTGAACACATATCACAGGGGCTCAGCTTACCAAATCCACCAGCTTTCTCCTCAGCCTTGAGGGGTCATTTGTGGAGGACAACCAGGGCCGCCAAAGACAAGCCCCTCTAGGAAAAAGAGGAGATTAATCAGTGAAGAAGAGACTGAAAAGTGGATTCTTTAAGATAACAAAACAGGCCTTCAAACATTTGGCTCAGGTGCCATCTGCTCCAGGAAGCCTTTCCTAAGGCCCCTGAGTCCAGGCCAGGACAGATGCCCCTCCTTTCTGCTTCAACAATGTTATCATTGCTCTTATCACACTGGTCTGTAATTACCTGTTTACTTGTCTTTGAGCTTCTTAAGTTCAAAGATATGTTCAAAGATGTATTTGATCATATCTGAATCCTCAACACTTAGCACAATGACTGATACACAGTAGGTATTTCAGTAAATGTTTGTTGAATGTTTAATGTTTGGAGGAATGAATCAGGGTTGGGTGGAAAATAACTTACCTCCTACATCCTCCTTTAAGAGGAAGAGCTCAGAGTCCTATCTTGCTGGGCTGGGGGAGGGGGTCAGAAATGTTTCTGGGCCCACTGCTCCCCCACCAGACTTCCAAAGGTAGGAAAAAAATCAAATGGGAATCTTATGATGTGTTCAGGAGAAGATGGTGTCTGATCAAAGGTCTCTTTAGACTCCAGCCTACTTTTCCCTTCATTTCCTCTTCCATTCTAGATGCTATTAACCCCGGGCTTCATAGCAGTCTCCTCTGGGCCCTTAGTAGACTCAACCACCTGGCCCATGAAGGCCTAGCTGCTTGGCCTTCAGCTTTGGAAATGCCCACTGTCCCCCAAGTCTCCTACTACCACCCAGAGGGATTAGTGAGGTGAAAAGCCAGATGAGCTATTCCAGCCAGAGAGGTAGAAAGAGAACTGAAAGGCTGTTGTTTTTCCCTTTCCCAGAGAACAAGAGTGTCCTGTACATCTCATTTTCCTTCCTCTCCCAGGAACCTCTCTATGCCTGAGTTCAGGTTCCCATAGGTCAAGTTTTACTGACCTTCCACTCTCATCTGCTTCTTGTCCAGAGAAGAAAAGGGATGATGAGCTTAACAGGCCAGGGAGTGCTAGGGGGCCTTGAAGTAGGGCCAGGGCAGAGTCGGGGGCAGCAGCAGCAGCAGGGTACATCCTCAGGTAGCTAAGGTTGGACAGGCTGGGGGTTTCCTAACTCTCAGAAGCTTCTACATTCTTTCAGCCTTTCCTGGGAGACCCTTTTATAAGCTCTGTGTGGACTCATAATTTATTCAGAGTATGCATGTGGGGGGAGGGGACTAGGGTGGGGAGGAGTGAAGATTTAAGAAAGGGGCCCAGGGAGGGAGACTTTGGTTCCTGGGTGTGAAATCTCTCCCAATTGAATAAACGGGGTGTCAATGGGGGGTGAGGGGCTTTACCTCTAAGTCAAAATGGAAAGCACAGAAGGGACAAATTGCACACCATTTGTGTGAATTCCCCAGGTGGTGGCAAGGCCCAAGGCGGGAGGAAGGGGCTCATTAGTACCCAGAACCATGGAGAGCTGTCAGGAGCAGAGGTTTGTGTAGGCAGGCCTTTAGACAGGCTGGTTCCTAGCAATAGGAGACAGCTGACCTTCCAAGGAGAGCAACAGACTCACACGTTATTCAGCTCAAACCCCAAAGAGACTTGCCAAGTAGGCCTGATATAGGGTGACTGTCATTAAACACATCACTTTCGTCAGGGAAAAGGGGGGTTCTGGGTGAAGTAGGTCTAGTTACCTCAAGTCTTCTTTCACCCCCCCGCCCCACCCTTTTACTAGTCAGTTCACTTGCAAAAGTGTCCTCTTCAGCCTCAGCAGTTAGGGGTCCAGTGAAGAAGAATAGGCAGGATTTTTTTTTTTTTTTTGGAGAGATTTTCACTGTAGGGTGTGTGCGCTCGCCAGACAGACAGAGAGAGACAGAGAGACATAAAGCGAGAAATCACCCCCCAGGGGGGATGGTCACGCCACAATCCCTTCTTCTCCATTCTCCTCTCGGGATCTTGGGCACGCACGCACACGCGCCCGGTGTGAGTTTTAAGCCACCGGGTCCGGGACACAAACCGCAGTTGACTACGTGGGAGTCCAGCGACATAGCCATTATGCTAACTGCTGGTTCCCAAGAATAGGCAGGATTTTGCAGGACTTCTGGGTCAGATTCCAAATCTCAGATCTCAGCTTCCAGTTCAGGAGCCAGGGTGCTGAGAGGAGGCAGAGTACTGCTCAGCCACTAAACTGCTGAAGAACTACTCAGGCATGGTCCTCAGACTTAACCAGCTTTCTGAGCCTTTGCCTAAAAGCTCCAGTTACAACTACTGGGCCGTATCTTATGCTTTGGAGTCTCAAAAATATTCCTCCTGGCCTCAGTGTACAACACCAGTACAGATTTAGCTGCTTAGATATTTATCACATTCCACTTTGTAATTGTTAACAATTAGAAACAACCTCAATGTCCAGCAATAGGAAGCCCATTAAATTAATTAGGATAAGTACTTGCAACTGAATACTAAGGAGGTGTTCATGATTGTGTTCTAGGAAGTGTAATTATATAGAAAATGAAGAAAAAATCAGATGATAAACTACATGACTAATTTGACTTAAGGGCTCTGTTCTCTGTTCACCTACTACCTCCTACGGCTTCTCTTTGAATTCCAGCTTAATTGTATTCTTTGTCGCAAAGGAAAATAGAAAGCCACCTAAATATTTTGCTTTTAAAAGCTGGTCAAATACTCCATTGAACAGTTCCACAATTTATGTTAGTTAGAACTGGTGGAGCCAGCAGGTTGCATGAGGGTTAGGAGTGCTGGACTCCCACATGTCGACTGCAGTTTGAGGCCTGGACCGAGAGCTTGAGAATTGTGCTGGAGTCTTGAGAGTCACACCGAGCATGTGTGCGTGCATCTCCAAAGTCCCAGGAGGAGAATGGAGTAGGGACTCCACATGGCCATCCCCCCTGGGGGGGAGTGATTTCTCACTTTTCCTCTTACTGTCTCTCTCTGTCTCTCTCCTCTCCAGTGAGCACACATACCCTATGACAAAAGCATTTCAAAAAAAAAAGAAAAAAAGAACTGGCATGGCATAAGAATGAGGGAAAAGTTTAACACATTGAAAAAATGAAAGAAAAGCCTTCAAAATATTACTCAGAGGATGATCCCATTTTGGTAAGAATAAAGTATAGAATGTATGATAGTCAGGGAAAAAAAAAGAATGATTAGAGGACAGTGTTACAGTTCTTTTTGCGAATAAGAGTAGAGTGGATTTTTTACTTCCTTTTTTTATGCTTTTCTGAAATTTCTAAAGAGTTTCACCATGAATTAATATTATTTGGGTAAAGACACATAAAAAAGAAAAGAAAGAAATGTTTATTGGAGAGAAAACTCTTGGGGAAATGACAGCCATTTTCCAATGTCTGAGGATTAAACTGCAATGAGTTTACACTTGTTCTGGGTGACTCCAAAGGGCAGGGCTGAGGCCCATGAGTGGAAGCTACAGGGAGACTCATATTGGCTCAATCAAAGGAAAACTTTCTAACGGCTCAGCTGCCACCTGACCCAAGAGCCTGGCGCCATATCGGCCCTCAATAAACAGAGGTTTATTATACAAACTGAAATGAGTCTAGTGGAATGCACTGCCTTGGACAAGAGTGAGCATTCTGTCGCTGACTTTTGTAAGTGCAGACTGGATCCTGGACCCTGAAGAAGGAAACCTAGTTGGAAAAGGGAGAGTTGCTGTGGAGCCTGAGTTTCTCTCAGTCTCTTGAGAGTTCTTACTAAATTTACCTCCAGAAGATGAGCATTTGCTTGTACTGCATCACTGGCTTAAGAGAGGAGTGAGGCTAAGAGAAGCCAAGCTGAAGTGATTAGGCTAGAAGGCAATGATGGCAAGATAAAACCTATTGTTGCACCCTAGGATCTTTTTTACCTCTAGATAGCCTCTTAAAACAGGCAGGAGGGAGAAGGGAAAAGAAGAGGCAGACTTTTTTTTTGAGCTCTACGCTCATGCCCAGCCAGATTTGGCCATGCACCCACTGTGCTATCTCCCTCTCACCTCGAATTTGTGTCCCTTCAGCTCAGGGAATACAGACTTTTCCCTCTCCTGAACAGCAGGCTTCCCCTTACACCCAGTTCCCAGCATGCTCTCCTAGAGCCAGGGATTCTACAGTCCTGTCTCCACGGCTCTTCATTCTCCCTACACAACTGCTCTGCTGTGCTGTCTCCTAAAAATTGCCTCGGCCTCATTCTGCTTGTGGGAGATGAAGCCTGTGGCCTCTCTCCAGCTGTAGAACTTAAGGTCTACAAGTGTTGCTAGGCAAAAGTGGGAGCCTGGCTGTTCCCTTGGCACTTAGCACAGAACAGGAGTAAGGTGATCAGCAGGGTAGCAAGAAAGATTTGGATCATCCAAAATAGAGAACTGCCTATTAGGGCAGTTAAGATTGTACCTGTTTCCCCTAACAGCCCTAGAGTGCTCCTGGGTTTTGTCAATGATTGCCTTGCCAGGGCTTTCTGAGAGTACTGAGTGCCTCCTTGGGGTCAGACACTTGGCTAGCTTTGCCTAGCAAGCAAAGGGATAAACTGGAAAGAGAAAAGTGCTGTAGCCCCTGCCTCAGCAGGGAGAGGGAGAAACCTTCAAGGGAGGACAGACTCAGTCACAGCTGGACTCCTGTTCCCCTCAGTCATCTTTGTCAAGTCCCCAGTGTCAGCCTCCACACTTTGCTTGGGCCTTATTCCAAACTTCCTTTTCCTCCAAACTACCACGTTCCTGCCCTGCCCCTCTCTTTGCACGGAACAATCTCTCCTCCTACTTCCCTGAGAAAACAGGCCTTCAAGCGTGAATTACCTCAGTGCCCTGCCCCACCCCCCCAGAAAAAATATTGGCCTGCCTCTCCAACTTCCTTCCCCTTCAACCCTCCCTTCTCAGGGGACAAGGTGCCCCTCTCGTTAAAGGCTAATCTCTTTGCCTGGGCCTTGGCCTCAGCCTCATCTACCCCTGTTTTCTGGGCCCTTCCTCCAGACATTATGCTCCTTCTCTTCAGGAAAGTTTAACTTCTCTGTACTAGATCTTTCTTTTGAATATAACCTGTCTCTGTTATACCAGAACCATGTCCCCTCACTCCCCAAGTATGTTCTCTGGCTTCCTTAACTTGCCCTCTCTCACAAGTTCTCTCTTCTTCCTCTCTCCTGTCTCCTCCCTTTTCTTTATGTCACCTTCAAATTTGTTGGTTTTAAAGTCTATACCTGAGACTTCCATTTTTCCCTTCTTATTCACATGTTAACCAACAGCAGTGTGGCCCCAGCCACATCATTCCAGTGAAATGTCACTGTCAAAGGTCACTAATGATCTCCTAGTTGCCAAATTAGGTGACCTCTTTGAACTCTGGGTGGCAAAAACTACTGTATGCCAAGTCTTCAATTCTGAACCTCTACTTCCTCTTTCAGCATCCATGATCAGTCTCTCCTGGTTTTCTTCCTACCTCTGGAACCATTCCTCTCAGTCTCTTTTCTGAACTCTCTGCTCTGTTCATTCCTCAAATTGGCTGTTCTCAAATGACAGTCCACTGATTCAGACTCATACACAGTGCTATTTTCAACCGATCACAGAAAAATGAGAAAAAGTTCATTATGAGAGTTTTACAAAAACTGAAATTAATTTAATTATGAATGACTACCCTCCATTCTGAGATTATGCCCTTCCTATTTAATAATGGTAAAATGTTCTCTCTTTTTTGAAATGATGATGATGAATGTTAATATATATATTTTTAATGCTCCTACTCGGCAAAATAAAATGTTGCTTTCTCTAGGTCCATCCTATAAATGTTTATTGAATGAATGAAAGAATGACAGTTACAGTAACAGCATGAAAATTCCCCAGTAGGTATCTCAAACTCATTCCAAAACTGAATTATTTTTCTCTCCTACAACTCTTCTTTGCACCTACCTCAGTAATTGAGCCCAGCTTGCTTTTCCAGTCTTCTGCCTCCAAAGGCCTCCTGTCCTCATACCATCCACTGAAGCCCTCCCCACCCCCAACTCTATCTTCGTATTGTATACAGGCCATTCACCTGTTATCTTATAGGAGTTTATTCTGAAAAAATATTAATCCTACCATGTATCATAGAGGAAGAATGACTTGAGATCATTTTTTTATTTGTGATAGAGCATGTGCGTGCACATGTGAGAGTTAAAGGAGAGAGAGACAGAAAGAGAAAGAGAGAGAGGGAAGCATCCTTCATACAGTCTGGCCATGTCACAATTTTCTTCCTTCAGTCCTCCAAGTTGTTGGATCCTGGGCACTTGCATGCATTTCTAGCATATTTCAGGCCGACCTGACCAGAGATTCAAACTAAGATTGCCATGTGGGATATGGCTTCTTTTCAGCACATTACACTGCACCACAGAACCAGCTTTCAGGGTCATTCCTGAGACAATGTTTTCTAAACGTTGGGTTATAACCAAAGGCAGGGCTTAAAATTAGTTTACTAAATTGCCACCAGCATTTGAGAAAATGAATAGCAAATATAAGAATAAATCATGAGTTCCTTCCATGTGGTCGCTGGGGAGAAACTGCTGCTGTGCTGACCGTGCTCTGCTGGACACGGTGTCCATGGAGATTGAACTTCCAAGTTTGGGAAGAAACCAACCATCAACCAGATGACTAGAAATCGCTGCAGGACCACAAGAAATATGGGAAAGCAGGAAAATACCTCTCCTCCAAGGGAAAAGGATAACTAATCTTCATCCACGCACAGTTCACGGGAATTCATGGAAATGTCTGATAAAGAATTCAGAACATTCATAATGGCAAAACTAACAGAGATGTAAGAGAAGAGAGACAATGAACTGATGAAGAGGAAAGAGAAAGAAGTTGTTGAGTTCCAGGAGGTGAGGAAATTCATGCAACATCTAAAAGAGGAATTTCACACTTTACAAAAGAATCAGGTGGAACTGTTAGAGATGAAGGCTATAATACAAGAAGTCAAAATTTCCCTTGAAAGTATTAAAAGCAGACTAGATCATACAGAAAATAGAATCTCTAACTAGAAAAATCCACCATGAAGACTGAGAAAATGGCCCCCAAATTTGAGACTAATATAGGAGAAGTACTAGATACCATCAAACGTCCAAAGATCCGGATAATAGGCATCCCAGAAGGTGAAGAGACTCATAGGGGCATTGATAATCTATTCCATGAGATCCTGCAAGAAAACTTTCCAAACCTAGAGAGGCACTCAAAGATTCAATCCCAAGAAATACAGAGGACCCCAAATAGAATCAACCCAAGAAGATCTTCTCCAAGATACATTATAGTCAGATTGACCAAAACCATAGACAAAGACAAGATACTAAGATTGGCAAGAGAAAAA